TGCAATTCAAACACTCTACTCTTCAATTCAAACCGGCAATTCTTCCATTCCAACGCTTAATCTTTTAGGTCACATCTGCTGTTCGACTATGGAGACATCCAGTTGTTTAATTTGGTAACCCTATTCATGACTTAAAATATTCGAACTCCTTTTCCAAACATTCAATTATTCAATGTGAACATGATACTCGTCATTTCCAATACGCAATCCTTCAATTCAAACATTCAAACCTTCAACGCAAACACGCTGTCCTTCGTCGTCACCTGGAAACTAGCCCGGCCACGCTTGTGTATTGGGAAGAAAGGCGAGGAAAGAAAGAACACGACCCTTATAGCAGGAACGGTGGAACTGTGGAACGGTAGATTGGCGGAAATCATTCATCCCTACGACATTGGCTCATTCATCCCTACGACGATAACGCGCGTGACCAAAATTAAGTGTTATTTTTTTTTTCTTTTGCTGAGTGGTATGAATAATAATGAACTATTATACATGAAAGATAGCAGCGTTTTCGCGTTGTAAACCTGTTTAGTTACCGTTTGTTATGCTAAATTTGCCACTTCCAGAAAAGATCGCCCTCGAAACGGCGACTTGCACATTTGCATGACCTCGGGATCGTCCACCGTGATATAAAGCCTGCCTGTATACTGGTCTCCAACCAGCATCATTGCACTTTAAAAGACAGCAAACTAGACGAATTAGTGAAATAGCCTCTTTTTTTTCCACAAAGTATATTTCTTCCGCTGATATGTAAGCCGTAAATCTAATAGTAGGATGGTGATGTTTTGGACACCTGGTCACGAAGAAATTCTTCAAATTCTTCTTGAAGGCTTTCTTTTGCTAAATTTCTTTTGTCTTTTCACGCCATGTGAAATTCCCACGGGCGTGACTCCCTGCAAACCTCTCTTCACCAAGTGTTACTCAAGGCCCAAAACTTATTCGTGGATGAAGAAACGCTCGTAACGAGGGCTTGCTCTCACGTTAGTCAAAGTTTGGAACTGGGGCTGAGCGTTGTTATATTTTGAGACGCCTGAAAACGTGCCTGAAATGTTCTCAGATTTACAAGCGTTTCAGATATTTTTGTTTCATTAAATAAACGCAGACGTCACCAGCAAACGTATGTTACAATCGTTTCTTGGAATGTGGCATGTCAAGTTAGTTTTCACATGCTGTGCGACTTTTTATGCCGCGACTAAAACTCATGGCAAATTTAGCATAAAGGTAAGTAAAGTCTGTTTACGAGCCCGTGGCCCATCAGTGCCCGGTGCTTAACTCCGGTTTCCATGGCATGAAGCGACTAGTAGTATTTGTACTCCCCCCTGGATGGGATGCTAGTCCATCGCAGGGTTATCCCCCAGGATTAATTGCCGGTACCCATTTAAACACCAGGGTGAAGAGAGGCACTGTGAGAGTAAAGTGTCTTGCCTAAGAACACAACACAATGTCTCTAGCCGGGGCTCGAACCCGGACCACTCGATCCGGAGTCGAGCGCACTAACCACGAGGCCACCGCGCCTCCCACAAACATAACAAAAGGTAACTAAACAGGTTTACAACGCGAAAACGCAGCTATCTTTCATGTATAATAGTTCAT